GGTTCTTTCTTTTCTTCTGGTTTCTTAGCTGGTTCTTTCTTTTCTTCCGGTTTCTTAGCTGGTTCTTTCTTTTCTTCCGGTTTCTTAGCCGGTTCTGGTTTTTTCAAAGCAGCAGCTCCAACTGGTTTCTTTTCAGGTACAGCAGCTGGTTTTTTGCCTGGTGCAGTTTTACCAGCAGCTGGTTTAGCAGGTTCAGGTTCAGGTGCTGGTGCTGGTTCCGGTTCAGCTACCGGAGCAGGTGTTGGTTCTGGTGCTGGTTCAGTAGGAGCTGGTTCAGCAGCAGGAGCTGATTCAGCTACTGGAGTAGGTGTTGGTTCTGTTGAAATATCTGTAGTTTCAGTTATTGATGTAACAGCTTCTGATGGAAGTTTTTCTTCAACTTTAGCAGCTGTATCGCTAGCAAGTTCGGATGAAGCAGCAGTAGTTTCGACACTTGCTGCTTGTAGTTCAGTTTGATCTTCTTGAGCCATTGATGCAGTATAAGCATCTTCATCTTCAGTTTGTACATGAGCTATATGATAATAAATATTGATGATAAAATTCATATATATGAATTTAATATATAAATACCTTTAACGGTAACTTGTGCACTTGACGTATCCGAGCCTTCATCATTTTTAGCTCGGCATATATATTCTCCATTATCATCTAATTTTACTTTTTTAATAACTAATGTTGCTATATCATCTTCATATGTTTGTTGAGTTCGAGATTCATTAGCCAAGGACTAAAAGATAAATTTCAAATTGAATATAAAATAAAATTTTGTAGAATGTATTTACTTCGCCATTTTTCAACCATTCAATTGTTGGTGTTGGTTTACCCTTGACTTCACAGCGTAATTTTGCTGTTGCACCTAATCAATAACACAAAATTTGTTAGTAGAATCCTCACAAGATTAAAATATGAAACAAAATGCATCTGTGTATATTGTGAATCAAGGAATTCTGTGACATATACTTTAGGTTGTGACTTCCAATGTATGAATATGATCAGATGACGTCACACGTTTTTTTTTCTGCTGATTAAGCCTTCTCATGCCATAGGTTTGTTTGCATATCGCGGTACTCATGGGGACTGGTGGTGGTAGTGCGTTGCGACTTTCAGTTCCATCTCTGAACGATTGCAGAAAGTATTTTCTACCCAAATTTGACTTATTTATTAGAAAAAAGAATTGAAATTAATCGAGAAGAAAACAGTTTCAGAATATATTTTACTAATAAAAATTGATCTCATAACTGGATCCAATTCGAACTCTACGGTTAGTACAGGCGGTTCAGATGCATTAACATTATCAGAATTCTAAAACGACTCAATTTTGTCAATTTCAACAGTCTTTAGAAATATTTATCCATTTCGATTAAATAATCAAATTCAAAAAACTAAGCGAAAATAGTCGATATGGTTGATACAAGCGGCTTGAGTGCGCTTATGTTCATGAGTAGACTTGGTTTCGATTGAAATCTAATATTTTTCTAAGAGTTTAAAAGTATTCATGCAGTGAGATATTAATAATAGTCAAGGAGAAAAAACCAAATGGTGGTTAGCATGACATAGGAAAATGAAAACTGTATGACAGAAGGGCAAAATTGATGACGTATGAATAACAACCAAAGAAAAGTCTTATGATCTCATCTGAAGATGATATAGGTCATAAGTAATATAACATACAACATGAAAATGTCTTTTAATCTAGATTCCGTTTAGAATTTCTTCTTGATTTTTTTTTCATTATTTACAACTAGCTTTTGTCCATTCAGAATACAATATACATTGAAGATAAAGATATTTTTGACTAATAAGTTTTTGTATTTATTTTTCTATCAAATGAGTCATTTAATGTAGAATTTTTTCTCTTTCAACACATCTGATCAAATTATAAATATGTCAAGCAAACAATAATAATAACAACAATAATAGTAAAATGAATCTTGACCTACTGCTAAATAATAATGAAAGACTTCGATTCTATTAAATGATAATATTCATTTACAAAGAATTTCTATTTTCATTAACATATATCTTATTTTTTGTATGAATATGCTACTAGAGATGATTACTAAATATAAACATGATAAAAATTTCTCATTATGTTATCAAACTACATGTCCTGAGGGCGCCCTGTTCTGTAATAATCTCTCATCCAAAACTTCTACTCTTTTACTTCTACATACTTCTTAGGTCATATTTCATAACAAAGTAGAATTCAATGATTATTCCTACCCTCGAAAACAGTAATATCAACAAGTTGATCAATAAATTTCGGTGGATCTCGACGTTCTTTACGTTCTAAATATATTAAGAATTAAATTTAAAAAAGAAAAAAAAAAAATAACAATAAAGTTCTATACTTGGTTTTTCAACGTCGAGTGTATCACGTTGAGCAGGTTTTTCACCGGCACCTAATTTACTGCGCCAGCTTTCATCTCTGCCTGATGTACGTATTGGTGATGGTGAACGTGTTCGACTTATACGTCCGCGTGTATCACCCTCTCCTGGACGAGCTGAATGACCTCGTCGTGTTCGACGTACTTCTACAAAAAAAAAA